TGATCAATATATTACTACATCTAATAAATTAACAAATGTTCCACCTAACAGAGTAAAGGATGATATTATTACAACACAGAATTATTTTCGTGGAATTAAACGACATCATGAATCAATTTCTGAAATAAATCAGAACACTACAGATGAATTAGAAGGATACTTAGCCTTGCCTTGTGATGAGAATGTTGCTTCTCTGTTGTGGTGGCAGGCGTATTTGAAAGAATTTCCAACATTAGCTTGTATGGCTAAAGATTACTTGTCGATTCAAGCGACCAGCGTCGCTTGCAAACAAGCTTTCTTAGTAGCAGCCAACACTATGTCACGATCTCGAAACAGACTTAATCCGGAAACCTCAAGAGCATCATTGTGTACTAAAAGTTGGATTAAGAATGAAGTAGTTGTAGAAAAAAATGGTTAGCATTTAATTTAAAATTTAATAAAAAAAAAAAAAAAAAAAAAAAAAAAAAGATTAATAATATCTTTTTATTAGGCCGAATCCGTTTGAATTAAACCAGAAATAAGAATAAAATTATAGAAAATTTGTTTTTTTCAATAGAAAATGGGGTAATTTAAAGTTTCATTTATCCCTTTTTTTTTTTTTGTATGTTATCGGATCACATGAAAAATTAGGCGTGGTCTGTTCTTGACAATTTTTTTGAAATATTTTATTTTATAAATAAACAATATAAAACTATTGTATGGAGTACAATTGAATTAGCATAAATCGAATAAATTTTTATTCATTAGATTTTATTTAAATGAATATTTAAATAATTAAATGAGCGGGATAGTTGACTTTTATAATCTATTAACCCTCAATTTTTTTTTTTACTTATTCTATGGTCTCAAACCCTGATATATCGATTTATAACCCAGATTATAATTACATACAGTGAGACCTTTCTAAACACAGCCTCTTTAAGTACATAACCTCTTCAAATGCACTCTCAACTAGAGTTAATACTACAATCTGAATTATGATGTTTTAATTATAGTATAAATCTGGATTGAAGCATCAACTCTACGCTCAACTTCTGGCCTAACTATATTTGAATTATCATTATAATGGGATTTGGGTTATTTAATTATTTAAATGTGCTAAAGGTTGTTTAAAGGCCTACGTTTTATATTTGAACCTCACAGGACAACATTCATACGATTGGTCAATTTTCAAAAAGATTTATCAGTTATCGTTTTAATATACTACTAGAAAACGAAAAGAACTTCATTTAAAGAAGCTTATAAACTATTTATTATATTTGAAAAGTAATTCTGCCTTATTTTAGTTATACGTAGTGACCTTTATTTGAAACTTAGTTTAACCAAACCAGGTTCCAGAACCAGCTTTTGAAACTTAGTTTAAACCAAACCAGGTTTGGAACCTAGTTTTTAGAACCTAAAGGTTTTGAAACCAAAATCGAACCTAAACTGAACCTAAACCAACCTAGCTAGAACCTAGGTTCTAACTAGGTTTTAAAACCTAAGAAAAACTTGGTTAACCAGGTTCTTAAAATAGAACCTAAAGGTTTTGGAACCAAAACCAAACCTAAACCAACTTTACCAACCCTATTTGGAACAGAACAACTAAAAAATAGACTAAACGCCAATAATGTGAAATAATTGGAGAATATATACAGTTAATCTGGGTGAAGGAGAACATTATTATTTATGGATACTTCTAAATAATATCAAAGGTGCAAAATCATTCACAGACTTGAAAACAGTAAACAACTATCTATGTTCAATATTCAAAGAAAGCGCAATGAAACGAAACTTTATAGAAAGCAAAACAATATATAAAGAAACTATACGTGAGGCGACACAATTTCAAATGCCATCAGCACTTAGAAAACTATTCGCCACGATATTAATATTTGGTGAACCAACTGATACTCGAACCCTGTGGAATGACAACTACGAAGCTATGTTAGAAGATTTCGCAAAAAATAAAATACCAAATAATAACCTTAGAACAAATGCAGTACTTCTTCAAATAAAGTATTATTTAGAAAAACACAACAAATCTCTAAGTGAATATGATCTACCTCCACTGATATCAACTGAAAACCCAAATTAATTACTGAGATTACTGCTTAACGAGTTAAACATTCCAGTAATGAATGAAGACCTGTCAAAAATCAGATTATTAAATGAAAGCCAAAAAATTAGTATTCAATGTTGTCATAGAATGAATTAGAAAAAATCAGCCGGCAGCAATATTTGTAGATGGACCTGCAGGTAACATATAATATAGAAATAATCCAAAAACCCCTCTAAAAAAAACTTATCAAACAGTAAGATAAAAAAATAAACTAAGATATAGAATTTAATATGTACCACACATACTAGATTACAAAAGAAATTATAAAATCAATCATCATAACAATGATAAGTCTTTAAAAAACAATTCAACCAATCCTATAATCATAACAAATTGAAACTTAAGACATCAGAAATGAACAACTTAACTCGATAGAACAATACAAATTAATCCGAAATTACAATCTTCAGAAATATATATTAAATATAAACTAATTTTCTATAATATAACTTATAGGTTCCAGAAAAATATTCCTCTATCTTTATCTACTTACTGCAATCCGTTTAACCTATTTGATTGCCCTAGCAACTGTGTCATCATGTATAGCAGCACTGCTGATGCCAGAGGGGGCGAACCGCACATTCTAAATTTAAAATTCCTCTGGACATCGGTCCAGGTTTAACCTACACGATTAGTAAACAAAGTTATCTGGCCAAACTATTAGAATCAACAAAACTAATCATTTAAGATGAAATTTCAATAATGAACTACTATTCAATAGAAGCTTTGGATAAATCATTAAAAGATATAATGAAATGTGACAAACTATTTGGCGAAAAAGTAATTGTATTTGGTAGAGATTTTTATCAGATTTTACCCATAATTTCGAGAAGAAGTCACACACAGATAGTAAATGCAACTCTAAAATCATTATCACTGTGGAATGCAATAGAAGTTTATTATCTTTACCAAAATATGTGGGTAGAAAATGATCCCAAGGCTCACAACTTTAGAGAATTTTTGCTAAGAATAGGAAACAGAACAGAACAGACTACCAACAACAATATGATCAGAGTTCCTGATAATATGATAATTAAATGGCATAGTGAAGAATCTTTACGAAATCTTATACAAACAGTATATCTGTCCCTACAGACTCAATTTTTAGATACCCATTACTTTATAGATAAAGTTATACTTACAACCAAAAATGAATACGTCGATCATATCAATGACACAATATTAGACCACCTACCAGGCAAAACTATAACATACTACGATTCTGTTCCCGATGACAACCATAACCTTTACCAACAAGAATTCCTAAACTCAGTAACCATCAGTGACATCCCTCCACACAAACTCAAACTAAAGACTAACACACCCATCATATGTCTTCGAAACTTAGATCTGCTTAATAGTTTATACAACAGTACTAGACTAATATGTAGAACATTTAGTACCAATATTATTGAAGCAGAAATAATCCAGGTAATCATAAAAGCAAACAAGTATTCCTTCCTTAGATAATTTTCACCCTGCCAAATAATGTAAAGCTTCCCTTTACATTAAAAAGAAAACAATTTCTGATAAAACCTGCTTTTGCTCTCACGATTAACAAATCACAAGGACAGACCATCCCGAATGTAGGACTCTATCTACCAGAGCATGTATTTACACACGGTCAGCTCTATGTTGCCTTTTCAAGAGCTAGATCTTTCTGTAATATTAAAGTATTAATTAAAAATAGTGAAATTCATGGCAAAAAAGGGATCTATATACGAAATGTAGTATACAGAGAAATCTTATACAACTAAAATTTACATAGCAACTATATCGGTATAATATATATTATATATATATAAGAATTAACAATTTATCAATAAACCAAATAAACAATCACTAAAACAAAAACCTAATAAGACAAATAGAAATAAGATAACGCAATACTAATTTTATAAATAATAAAAAAATCCTAATAAAAAAAAAATAATGATAACTACTGAAAAAAAAATAGATATAAAATAAAAAAAAATAACAATAATAAAAAATAAAAATCGAAAATCTAATTTAAGTTTTAACTGAATTCGATCCACGTAAACTACTATGTAAAGATCGTTCAACTGGTTTTTTGCCTTCACTACGTGAAACATTTCTCTTATCCTTACTATCTTTTACAGCTTCCTTAACTCCTTCTTCTCCACAATCAGACAAACAACCATCCTCTTTACTACGAGATTCGGATTCAAAATTTACCAAAGTATCATCGAAAGATTCATCAAAATCATCAAACTTTGCATGTTTCGCTGAACAAGAACTACCCATGGAATTAAAATCATAATTATCCACAAAATCATTCGAATCGACCAAAGTTTCATTGTCTAACTTTTCTTCAGAACCACCAACAATATTTGATGAGTAGCTAAAAGCTTAGAATGAATCGAACTTTTAGAAACTGATGAATTCCAAGAAATATTTCCATCCAAAAATCTCTTCTTATTACTAAAACGCGTATCAATGTAATTAATATCTTTAGAATATACATAAAATTCATTCCCAATTATCTCTAACTGCCCAACTACAAAAATCAAAGATTTCTGGGGACGAATTATATCTTTCAAATGCGATAAATGAGAATTATGATGTGAAAAAACAACTTTCATAATAAAATTATGCTCTTGGCCTGAAAAATCAGTCACCAACGTATTAATAACACTATCATCTTTAATCCCAATAGGCATCTCCTGCGGAACTCCAACCAAAGAAACTTTTAAAGGACATTTATTAGATTCAACAACCTTATTAAGAATAGATACATGCGTAGAAGTCGAAACAATCATCTAATTACAAATCAAAAATTAATACAAAATAAAACCAACAAAATAATAATAAAAAAAAAACCAAATACCTTCGCCCTTTTGCAACCATTATAAACCCCAGGAATAATTTTACCACCTACACAAAAAAAACTATTCTTTTCAAAGATCGCTTGAATCTCTGAATCTCTTTCTTCCAAATTTAAAGGTACAAACAAAGACATTTCAATGTCATAATCTTCTCACTCTACGGGATAAGCACCGAGAGCCCATACTACCAAGGAATCAATTTTCTCATTTTCATGAAAAGTAACGTACTTAATCCTAACGATCGTATCGGCATAACACGGCATTACCGAATCGAAACTAATTAATGAAAAATACACAGTACTAAAAAATCAAAACTGAAAAAAACTATACTTATATACAGAATATTACATGAAGAATTACATCATAATATCAAAACTTCATACAAACTACAAGTTTACGAATACAACAAATTCTAAAAATAATTTAATTCTAACAAACAATTGAATAATTATCACGACACGAGAGATACCAAATAATTACATCATTAAACTAAAAAAAACTAAACGCATAACTCATTAAAATCGAAAAAAAATAAAATAAATACCAAACTAATATATACAACAAAATATATATATATATATATATATATAAAACTAAACCAAAAAACGAACCTTAATACAAACAACATAAATATTAAACTAACATAAAATAACTTTAACGCCAAAGCGAACTAACTAAATAAATTTAATGACAAGAAAATCAAAAAACAAGACCTTAACAAACACGTAATTACTACTACATTAACACTGATACTACCAAACGATTACCAAAACACAACATTATCACAGTACACTAATAATATATATTCCCGTGACGAAGGCACGGGCAGAGAGCTAGTTTATTAATAAAATTTCTTTTCCATCGACGAAAAGCATCGGTACGACTGGTCATGTAGTTGGATCAATGCCGGCTAGTCAAAGTGCCGGAAATAAATTCAATTAAAGGACATGAAGTCCGCAGAATACATTATGAGTAATTTTAGCTAAGTAATTTTAG